AGTGACTTATATGGTGGTGGATATATCTGGCGCTGTAATCTGTAGTGTTGGGTAATGTCATGGAAACCACGAATGGGTTCCTTATGCCATGGGAGATCCCTCGGCTCGTGAGCAATCAGAATGGCTACGCCGACCGCCCCGGATGTCCTGGCCCGGCAAGTTGCATCTCGGGCCGCGGTGTGGGCCGCCTCGCTACCACCGACCCCCTCATGAGCCGGAGACCAGATTAATGTGATTGGGTGTGTGGTGTGATTGGAGGGATGATAGATGATTTGAATGTTAAGAGCTTTGTTGCCGATCGAGAGACGCGACCTGAGCTGAAGCTGAGAAGAAAAAAAAAAAAGTGTTTTTTAAACAAACTGGTTGGGACACGCCTGTCAAAAAAAAAAAAAAAAATCATATTTTAAATTCTGCACGCAAAGTCCATGACGTCACGGAATAGCCATACACTCTTTCCACCTCAACGTAATGGATAAGCCGACCCACCTCTCCTCCACGCGCCCAAAATGCCAAGAGACAGAACAAGTGGAAAGGAGGTGGCCACCAACTAAATCGCCTCTCGTGCCATCAACTTGCTCTAAAAAAATGTTTGTCAACAATTTATTTTTTGCCACGCGTGTCCCAACCAGTCTGTTTTTAAAAAAATATTTTTCTTTTCAGTCGTTCCTTAAGGTATAACATAAAATTAAATTTTAAGAAAGCATATTAGCCAGCTGTACAGCTTAAACTAATTAGGTTTGTACCACGAGTCTTACTGTTGGAAAGAATTGCATAGAACTTTAGTGTGAAATATATCTCTCGTCTGGTTTACAAGACAAAAGTGTCCCCACACCCCCACGGGCTGCCGTCATGCTGTACAATTTTGACCACTAGACACTTGACTGTACCAAATGCTGAGGCTTACACAAAACAGCCGATATTTGTATTGCGAGGGCTGTGAAGATCAACTTTTTTTCAATACTGTCTAGCCAAAAATCAGTGTCTAGCTCTGATGAAAACCCATAATACAGCACCGCAGCTGACGGCATCCAGAGGAGCCGTTGCAAAGCTGGCCGAGTTTTTCGTAAAAAGCACATTTTGGACTTGAAAGAAACAAAATGACTTCTCATCAGTACTGTTATTAAAGATTGACGAGCAATTACCTGTGCGCGGTAGTTTGTTAAAATATAGACGTAAAACTACTAGGTCACGTGTCTAGTGGCCAAAAATGTGCAACATGGCGGCGGCCCGGTGGGGGGCATCCACTGATCTCAATGACAATTGCTGGATCGCGCTTGCCGCTCCCGCAAGTGAAGCCACCGGACTTCACTCGCTTGGGATACGATTTGCCGTTTTTGCTAGCCTTTGCTGCGGTTTTCCAGCGTGCTGTGGACACGTTTTCTACTCGTTCGTCGTCATTCGCCGAAAAAGTTTTTTTGAAGACTTGCCGTCGTGAACACGTGGAAAATTTTACGAAAGTGCAGTGTCGCAGGAAAAAGGCACAACGCGTCGAAAGGAAGGGCTGGCGGCGTGTTCAAAGCTTCCTTGGCACGCCGAAGTGCCGTGTCTCTGTGCCTTCGCACGCTTGGATACCGACCAAGAATCGATGCCGTGTGGATGTGATGGATTCCCATGTATGCTCCGAATCGACTTCCATGAAATTCGTGAAGTACTTCCGCTCGCTTCGTCGCCGGCAAGCATAAAACAAATCGTTCATGCGTTGGTCCTGCATCCCTTTTGTACAATACATCATGAAAAAGCACAAATTGTTTACTTGCTCTCTTCTGCTGTTTCTTTGTACCACCCTTTTTCTGCAGTATCTTTAAGATTTTTGTACAGAACGGGTCCTCCTTCTGCTCGGAGGTTAAGTTGGGCTCTTTGACCTCAAACACAATGCAAGTGCGGGTCCTCCCAGTCTCTCCCGAGCCGTTGGTACTCGAAGGTTCCCCTGAGCAGAAGCGGCTTGGAATACGGGACAGACAATCGGGGGCAGTGTGACATGCGCCAGACTTGTACACAACTTCAAAGTCGAATTCTTGGAGCAGAAGAGACCACCTGAGCAGGCGTTGGTTTCCCTCCTTGTAACGAAGAACCCAGCAGAGCGCATGGTGATCTGTAACAACATGAAACTTTCTGCCCATTAGGTAGGGACGTAGCTGTTCCAGGGACCACTTAACTGCAAGGGCCTCAAGTTCAGTGGATGTGTAGTTCTCTTCAGCTCCGTGAAGAGAACGGCTGAGGTATACAACAGGCCTGTAATCCCCAGTTTCATCTTCCTGGAGGAGGATGGCGCCGAGGCCGGATCTGGAAGCATCAGTGTGGACCTGGAGGCCGTATTTAGAGTCTTCTGAAAAGTGCTTCAAGACGGGAGGTCCACATAAGGCAGATTTCAGTTCATGGAAGGCGTGTTCTTGTGGAGCACCCCATGTGAAGGCTTCTTCTTTTTTCAGGAGCTTTCTCAAGGGGGCTGCGATGGCACTATGGTTCCAAATGAACTTTCGGAAATAGGACGTCAGTCCCAAGAGCGATTGAACTTCAGCCGCAGTTCTAGGAACGGGGAATCGCGTTACGGCATCGACTTTCTCTGGATCAGGTGCAATACCTTTCTGGGATACAATATGTCCAAGGTAAGTCACTCTGGTGCAGAAAAAATGGCACTTCTGCGGTTTGAACTTGAGATTTGCGGCCTCAAAACGCACGAAAATATTTCCCAGTTGTCGAAGGTGATCTTGGAACGTTGTGCTATAAACAATGCAGTCGTCCATGTAGACCAGTGCGTTGCGATACTTTAGATCACCGATAATGGCATCTACAGTTCGCTGACACGTTGCCGGTGCCCCTCATAAATTTACCTCATTACGGAGTCCCTGTTCGGGCGCCAAGTGCGACGAAGCTCGATTGGTCGTCGAAATATATCTTTTAATGTTCGGCTCCGTTGAGGCGTGGTGACATTCTTTTTCTTTTCCAGCTCGATCTTCTTCTTCCTTTCCTTTTTCTTCCAGCGTTCATGCGACACCGTCACACACTCTTTCAACTTGAACGAGATGGTCATACAGTCTCCTCCTCAAAGTGATGGCCAAGCCGATCCAGCTCTCCCCCACGCGCCCGAAATGCGAAGCGAGAAAACAAGTGGAGAGGAGGTGACTACCGACTAAACCGGGTCTCGCGTCCTCAATATCGCTCTAAAATATTTTTTTCTCGCGTAAAATTAATTTTTTTGACATTCGCATTCCAACCATACTGTTTCAGATTTTTTTGATTTTTTCATTGTCACTTTCATACAAATTTTTCAATTTGTTGGTGAAACCAAAGTTGTATCATTCAAAATGTATCGCAGCACTACTGGGGGTGTCTTGATCTGGCCCTTTGGGGTCTTCCTCAGTGCTTGGATCCACCACGTTAAGTCCTGCCGCGTGTCCCTGGCTAGTGTAAGAGTGGTGGTGTACGTGCCTCTCCGCAGGGCTCGTCTCAAATCTGTTTGAAGGTTTCTGATATAAAAGGAACCCTCTGTCAGCACCATTAGGCACGCGTTCGGTTGTCCCGCCAAGCTTGCAACCTGGTGGGCCGTGATCCCCGGTTGCTCTAACCTCTGCAGTAGGTGGTCCAACAGGTTGGCGAGTTTCTCTCCAGGGAGCTCGAGCGTCAATCGTCTCGAGTCTACTGATAGTCCCAGAAACAACAAGTCCTGGGCTGGTGTCAGAAACCTGATAAGTCTATCAGGTTTCTGGATTTGGCCTTAGACTTCCAAAAGGAACACGTTTGTTGGAGATACGAAACGCGATCGGGGAAAGGGTTCCTTCCCTTTGACTCAGAACATTAGAAAAATGTAAAGCAAGGGGTCGCCACCACAGCTCTCACAGCTAGCCTCAAAAAAACATGTTCACATCAGATGGGACGAAGCTTCAAGACCCAAATCTCCAGACTCCATGTGGCCGGGTCTCCGAGACCCTTCTTAGCCTCCATCTGTGAAAAGCTCTGCCAATACATCAAGAAATCCAGCCGAAAGAATGACTCTAACACACGAAAAAAGGTTCCTAGGTCACCTTTCGCGGTGGTTCCGTATATTCATGGAGTCACACATAGATTGAAAAAGATCGCCACAAGGCAGGGCGTCAAAGTAGTGTGCTCGGCACCAAACAAGGGATATGCCATGTGCCGGAAGGTTAATCTAGGGGAGGCCAACAACACCGGCACTTGGAACACCAAACATAAGAATAAGTACATCCAATGCGAAAAGGGAGTAGTGTATAACATACCACTGTCATGTGGGCGTGCGTATATTGGACAAACGGGAAGGTGCATGAACGATCTAGCACGTGAGCATGCAGCAAATGTAAGAGCCCTAACAGGGCCGGGGCATTTAGCCGCTCATTGTCGAGCATGCACGTGCGAGGCCAAGCTCGACCTGGGTACCATATTAGCTCACCACAAGGACCAGCTCGCCCGTGAAATACTTGAGGCCTTGGCCATAGAAGATAAAGAAGAAAACTGTGTTAGTACACCATTTATTGCGCTACAGGAAAGCGAAAAAAGATTTCTCCGGAAAACCAGTATTCGAGATGGAACAGAAAAATCAAGTAGGAAGAAGAGAAGGTAGCCACAACGCCAGTAGACAAAGAGCGGAAAACGAAGAATCTTTATTAAATAGTTGGTAGTCCAGCGATCACTCGTCTTTACTCCTTTCTCCCCAATTTCGTAGTTCAGCTGGTTTAACCATTGTAGTAGTCGGTACGGACTTCTCCAAGTTTACGGCAAAACCCAGGTTCTGTAGGAGGCTCACAATTAGACGTCCCTGGTTTGCCAGTAGGGAGGGCGATTGGTCCATGACAAGCATGTCGTCCAAGAACATGACGATGCGAAGTCCCTTGGACCGGAGATAGGCCGCGACTGGTTTCAGTAGTTTTGTGAAAACTCTCGGTGCCGATCTGAGGCCAAATGGTAGCACGTTCCAACGATAGACCCTGTCCCCCTCCCGAAAGCCGAGCCAGGGGCGGTCCTGGAGGCAGATAGGGACCGACAGGTATGCGTCCTTCAGGTCGATACATATCATGGAGTCGCCCTGTTGGGTAAGATCCCTCACCGAGTGACACCCCTCCATCTTCAAGTGGCTGTGTTCCAACGACTCGTTTAGTTGTCTGAGATCTAGGATTGGGTGCACCTTGTTGTCCTTCTTTGCTACTACAAAGAAGGGGGAGAGGAACTTCACTTCGGAAGGCGGTACCCGAGAGACTGCTCCTTTTTTGACCAGCTCGGACACTGCCTCCCGGACCTGATTTGACTGCCCTCGGGTCGGCACGCTGTGCTACCCTTGAATAGGTGGTACCTGTGTAAACTCCAGCTTGTACCCCTGTATTGTCTGAAGGACCCATGCATCGTGAGTGAGTAGCTTCCACGCCTCGCGGCAATATGCCAGTCGGCCCGCGGGCGGTAGCGCTAAGAGGTGCGGGTTTACACTTGCCTCAATATCCTTGGTGGAGGTAGGCCCCCCTCGTGTACCCTCGGGAAGGGGGCCCCCTGTGAAAGGGCTGCTGGGCCCCCGTTCGGCTCTGAGCGCTGGTCCCTGGGGTAGCCGAGCCACGGGGCCTCTTGGCTGGTGGCTCCGCGGCGGGAGGGGGTGGTTGGTGGGCTTCCCGGAGCACCTTGATGGTTTCATTCTTCGTTCAGAGCTGCCCCAGGATGCCCTCTCCAAACAGCAAGGGGGATTCTTCCTCCCCGCCGTCATGGGCCACCATCTGGCGGAGGTCTGGGGTGACTCGTGCGATCACCCCCTTCCGGCGCTCGCGGGAGAGTGACGCAAAGAGCCGCCCCAGATGGGCAGCAGCTGCACCCAAGTGGTCTGCTACAGTCCTCCTTTCAATTGCCTCCTCCGAGAGGCCGATTTTTAAAAGGCCCACCAGTGGCCCCATGGCCGCAGCCACTGCATCTTGGCCCTCTTTCAGCGCCTGGTCCCGCGCCGTGATGTTTGCGGGCACCTCCGAGCCACCCTCTGGGCGGCGGCTCCTCTCCTTCGCCAGGGCCTTCATTTCCGGATTCAACTCCGGCACCGTGGCGAACGGGAGTCGTGGTCGGGGGAAGCTCGTCAGGGCTGCCCTGCAGCGCTCAGCGCGCTTCTCAGCGCCCCAGTGCTCCTGGAGAAAATCCAAGACTGCCGGGTCCCCCTCCCGGGGTCGGCCCTCTGTTGGTCTCCCCAACCAGGCGTGGGGCTCCTCACCGGGCCCCAAAGGGTCCGGGTCGGACGTGGCACTTCGCTCACTGTGTTGAAGCTCGACCTCCTCCGTGGCCAAGGGAGGGAGGCGGGTGGCGAGCGCCGCTACCGAAGTAGCGATGCCCGCCACCGTTCGCTGCAGCTCCGCGATCTCGGCGGTTGACATCTGAGGAGGCCCGAGAAAGTCACATAACGGTTTAGAAACGATTACGGCCGCACTGATCTCCGTTATCGAACGTGAGGAATAATGCGCGAAACACATGTACGACGAAACCGTCCGATCCGACGTCCGACCGCGCAATACGACGGTCGGAGGCGAGGGTTTTCAACGCTCTCCGATGCTACGAAAACCCTCTCCCCCCCCAAGGTCAGTCCGGCAGTCCGCACGTCGGATCGGAAGGTTTCGTCGTACATGTGTTTCGCGCTTAAAGGTGCCAAGAGTGGCTAATTGAGTGGCCCTTGTGGCTGCCTAAGAATTTGTTGCGTCGTTCAAAGCCAAGACGCGAGCGGGGACGCCGGAAATAGCTTAAGATCGCCGCCTCTGTTCGGGGCCGGGGCCCATAGAACAAGGGGGATCGGACCCTATTGTAAACCAAAAATAGTCCTGCTGTGTCTGGAGCCGGAGCCCATAGAACGTGAGCGGGAATGGGTCCTTAAAGCCACTTTAACTCCGCCGCGCCTTTGTTGGAGGCCAGGGCCCATAGAACGTCGGGGGATCGGACCCCGTATGTAAACCCGAAAATAGTTCTGCTCTGTCCGGATTTGGAGCCCAGAGGACGTGAGAGGGAAAGGGTCCTTAAAGCCACTTTAACTCCGCCGCCTTTGTTCGAGGCCGGGGCCCATAGAACGCCAGGGGGGGATCGGACCCTATACACCTTTCCAAAAATCACTCCTAGGCCGCCGCCATGTTGCTGATGCTGATGCGGCTGGTGCGGCTTTCGCGCCATTAGCTAGAAATTTTCTGCCACTCTCTTGGACTGTGAAAACCCGCTCAGCGCGATTCTCTACCTACGTTTTTGTGGTTTTGCACATTCAACGTTTTCTCGCCCCTCTTGGAAGTTTCCACTTAATGTTTTTTTTTATGCGTGCTGCATACTCTTTCTGTGTTATCTTCCATTGTGAGAAATGAGGCTGGTAAGTGCCTGCCATTCAAGGTTTTTCTGCTTTACATTTACGGGAAACGAAGAAGGTGAAGGATGTCGAACGACCCTCGACACGATTTTGCGAACATTGTTTTTCCCCCTCTTAAAGATAATCCGCGTAGAATCCTCAGTCCTCTCCAAAAATAGTTGTCCAGGTTGGGGTGGGAAACGGGTCAGTCGCGTTCGTTCCTTTGCCTTGGTGCAGTTAGGAAAAAAGGAAGCTCTCCCAAAAACGTGCCCCAAAACGAAGTCATCTCGGATTCCGACCGATCGTCAAGATGTGACTGTCGTCAACTGTGACTGTGTTATTTGAGATCTTTCTCAAATTCTTTTCGGATAATGCTGCATCGTGTGGTACTTACGTACGATATATTGTTCAAATGTTGACACTTCCTCGATTGTATGTCCCTGTCCTGTCCATCACGTTATTTGTGAGCGTGAAAAATGCATGCCTTTCAACCCTCTTCTCTTGCAATTCATTTTTGACAGCAAAGCGTTTTGTCATTTCACATGCGGCGAATCCCGTGGCGCCGTCAAAACTTATCGTAATAAAAGAACACAAATAACTAGGACTATACATTCCAGTCCCATAGGCCTCCTGCATTGCCCAGGGGGTGCTGCGAAAAGGGACTTGTTAGGACTTGTTTTGGGTAGTACAAATTTTAGCGTCTCAAACTGTCACGCATGCAGAAGCGTGCCTGCTCTGGTGCGGAGTGCGAGATCACGAGAAAAATACAAAGAAACAACAAAAATTCGAACGCCGTCAAAGCTAAGACGCTAAGAGCGTAAGCCAAGAGATGCCGTTTCACGCATTCCAAAGTAGACATGAAAATGAAAACAAAATGAAAGCGTCGCGACACAGGTGTTCTGACGTCACCACCCAGATATAAGAGATGCGTGCCCTAGCGGTGGTGTCATGAATTTGGCACTTTCGATTGTCTTGCAACAATGAGTCAGGCCCATTTCTGGCGTCCAAAAATGTTTTTTCGTTCTTCAGCACCACACAGAATTAAAAAAGATCAACTAACGTTCCATAAGTAGTGCCACGCTCAATCAGGTGAGCTTGTACTACCCAAAATGAGGGCGCTACTGTTTGTTCAAAGCTTCAGCGCAGGAGGCCTATTCGTTCTGTCGCGCGTGTACCCAAAAAAAATAGTTAAGTTTTTTTGTTTTGCTTTTTTTTCAAACATGGTACAATCCTTTCTCAATGTCCTTGGGAAAATGCATGTACCATGAAACAAAATATAGCAGGAAAAGACGAGAATTTAGCCGCCAGCAGCGTTTGAAACTGCGCCTACGCACGCTGCGCGGTTAGGGTTAGGAGGGACGCCGGTGAGATTCTAGCCTTAAAACAATGCTGCCTCGAAAACAGTTTGTTGCCCCTGGGGTCGAGTGTTTTTTGGAAAGGTGTATCAAGATTGTTAAAGGGACACTGACACCCCCCAAAATTTTTTTTCCATTTTTTGCCAGGCGCTTCATTATGGTGTCGGAGGACTACTCAATTAATATTTTGCAACAGAGTAGCATATTTTTTTAATAAAGCCAAAAGACACAACTGCTCGAAACCGAAACCCGACGGAGGTCGGAGAAGTGGAGAGAAGAGAGTGAGTGGCGAAGTCACGTGGCTACACCCGACGTGCATTTTTTTTTTTTTTTTCTCCTCTCCGTAGCAGACGACATGACATGCGGCGTACGGGAACTGTTCGCCGTGCAATTCTTTTGCAGTTATGTTTGTTCCGCTCGTTGTTCTGTACTCCAAGATGAGTTGTTTTGTACATTGAGGAGTTGGAGATGAGTAGTGAGTGCCCGTGGTGAATTTCCATGATCGGCTCCGAAAAGAATACACCCAAGATGTTGCATGAAGAGCTGGCTCACATGTCCTGCGTCCGAAAAAAAGGGGGCATTGTGCAACAGAGTTTCCGAAAGATCAACGGGATCGGGACCAATGGCTGGCTGCAATTCCTGTAGAACATATTCGGGCACCTCGGAAAGCGGATGCTACCTGATTTATATGCTCCTTGCATTTTGTGGAAAGTGATTACATTGAGTTAGCAGGTGTCAAAAGGAAATCCCATACAATTTAATTCAGCGGAGTGTCGTCCACAACATTTGTTTGTTATTTTTTGTGTTTGTTTCTTCAGTGATAATTGTAAAAAAAAAAAAAAAGATATTTCAACATCAAAAAATATCTGAAAAAAAAAAAAAAAAAAAAAAAGTTTCACGAGGGATTGAACTTGGTCCTACTGCGTGTGAAGCGGACGTCTTTCCCACTGAGCTACTAGGGCTTTTTTTTTTCTTTTTTTGAAACATTTGTTTACATCTATTTACACAATATCAACAGTGTTCAATTTTGTACAAATTATGTACGATATATACAGGTGACGATTTTTGTCATTGACGCAAAAACTTTTAAGCAAGCGATACGTAAATTAACTAAGGTGGTAGGGCGCCTGTGTGACCTTAGCAAGGGTGACATCTTGCTACGATAATATGTTCTCCACGAGTAGTTGCCTGTTATATAATATCTGGCGACTGACTGAGGTTTTTAACTATTTCTTTCCATTCATCGTTCTCTTGGCATGCGAGTACGTTGTGGCCAACTTGAATTGCTATGTGTTTAAAATTTACCCAGGAGGGCTTTGCAGCTCCCGCTTCGGTATCTACTTTTCGCGTCTTCCATAAGCTATACGCCTCGCAAGTGGGCTCATTTTCGTCTTCTGTGCATGAGAAAGGAAGTAGCGGTGACGTCAGAACGCCGAGCCCTGATTGGCTGACCGCGACCCCTTATCTGAGCGTCATCTGCTCCTTTGCAACGTCGTCTGCTCGCAACGTCGTCTGCGTCTTCTTACCTTTCCTGCGACTTTCGGAAGTCGAGCGAGCTCAATTTCGCCTTTCAAACAGGGCAGACGAAATAACTCGAGCGGTACATTGTTTTTGTCTAACAACTAGCAGACGCGCATCAAGGAGAGAAGTCAAAGGACTCACTGGCGAGGTGTCCCGAGGCGCCGAGGTTTGTTTGCTAAGAATTGAGAGTGAGGGTGGTTAGTGTCCGCAAGTTCCCTCCCAAATACTTTTTCCCTCCTTTCGTGTGCGGCGAGACTCCTCACTCTTTAACGGTGTCGGCGGGTTGGTGCAGTTAACGTCGTCTGCTTTACGTCTGCTAGTCAAAGCGAACTGAGGTCAGCGATCAAAGTATAAGACAGGAAGGGTTCACAAGGGTCGCGCGGGCATATTCCATTCAGCACGCCAGCCGGTCGTGGGCAGACGGTCGCCGAGTCGGAGTGTTTGCTAGGCCTATCTGCCGTGCTCGCTTTGTCGTTGTCGGTGGAATCGTGGCCGTTGGAGCTTTTCCCGGATGTTTGTGGATCCAGCGTTCTTGTTCGTCGTGGTCTGTTTGAAGTACTTTTTACTTTTTTCTTGCAGCTTGAAGTCGGGACGTGTGAGAAGCGCACGTAGAAAAATAAACGTTCGTTGGTCGTCGCGACCGCGACGCTGTCGGCCATGCTGATTTGATCGTAAGAAGTGCGTAAGACAGCTTCGGAGCTGTCGTAGGATTTCGTCGTAACCTGCGCAAAACTTACGAAAACTTAGTTTCGTGAATACGAATTTGTTTTCCAGTTTTGTCTTACGCATATTTTTGGCGTAAGATCGTTTTGTGAACCTGGCCTCTGCACTTTCGAAAGTCGCAGGAAAGGTAAGACAGATGCAGACGACGTTGCAAAGGAGCAGACGACGCTCAGATAGGGGGTCGCGATCAGCCAATCAGGGCTCGGGGTTCTGACGTCACCGCTACCCCCTGCGCACGGAGCAGACGAACTTGCCCTCCGCATAAAGTCCTAGTACAACTAAAACATCTTGGATTGTATCCAGGCTTTCGGCAAAATGTAAGTACCGAAAATTTTTTTTCAACCACTTCAAAGTCCTTTTTCAGTGTCCTTTTGAAAACGTCCCAAAAAAAGACAGCGTCTACACATAAAACGAAAGCGTGCGTGAACGTTTCAGTTGTTTGGCAAAGACAACAGTTGGTGGTTCCATATACTCTGATGCCGCGGGAGTCGAGCCACTCTTTTACTGGTATGGTAATAATTCAGCCGGTAGTTTGCTGTCGATTTTCTTCTAGCAAAAGCACTTTCGGGTCGAAGTCGGGAAGCACCACGCATTGGCGACATTCGCACCTAGCAAAGAAATCGTACGCGTGCATATTCAACTCGAAGTAGACACTCGTGCTTGACGTTTGCGCGAGCGATGTCTTCAGCCACGAGAAGGGAGCAATGGCTCGGCGACGTCTTCGTGCAAATCGGCTTGGTGGTCGGGCGTGTCGTACGGGATGAATACCAATTCTTTTGATCAGTTCCAAATTTCTATTTTAAAGGTAGACAGAATTCGCCGGTACCGCGAACAACAGTTCTGAAATCGAGGTCCCACGCCCGTCGTCCGCTGCCATCGCCGTCCCCGCGAGTCCCACGATACGCGAAACGACGAACGCACAGAATGCTTCCGGTTTTCTGTGGAACTTTTTTTTTCAATCAACGTATTTGCAGCTTTTTAGAAGCCACAAAAAATGGGTTTCATATTTTTTTCTATTTTTAATATTGAGTGTGAGCCTTCAGTGACCCACGACTCTGATTAAATTTGGTGGTCGCATCGATACCTTAGAAAACGGCCCGTGACCGCGGAAAAGAGAGTGAGCGAGACTAGAACCGGCCAGTTCTTGATCGGCGGTTTTCGGGCAGAAAGAAACCAAATTTCGAGCAGCAAATTCTGTTCTGGGCAGTTGGGCTCTCATATGTCACGTATGTACAACTAAGTCAGTCAGTCAGAGTATTGAGAGGAGGAAATCAAAGGAAGTGTACAACTGTACAACTAAAAACCTCGGCGAGCATAAATACCCTGTCAGTGTCCGTTTAACTCTGCGGTCGGACAAAGTTTCTTCTAAAACCTCGCGGAAGGCGAGGTCAATCCCTTGTCGAGAGTGAGCCTTTCCGAGTTCTATCGGTTGAAGTCTCCGGAGAACAAAGCAAAGGCTCGAAAAGCGATCAAACTTACGGCACTTACGGTATCTCGACGGTCTCGACCTGCGGTCTCAACAGCAGCGCAGCCATCTTGTTTGTTTACGTGATGTCACGGAGCGCAAAGAGTCACTCGCGCTCCCGCCACTCCCGCTTCGAGAAATTTTCGGTGCACGAGGAGCGCTAACGTGCGCGTCATGAACGCGGAATCATGCGCAAAACTTTTCTGCGTTGGTCGATTATCGTTAAGGGGCCGCAATTATTTCCAACTTTTTCTCCCTACAAAATACACCAAATACAAACTTCAAAATACAGCCACGCCTCAAAGTCCTAATTTTTATTTGGGACCTCTTTTTGTCTCGTAATGTTGTTGAGGCAGACGGCGGTAAAGCGCACCCGCGTGCGCGCGCTTTTGGTAGCAGACGATCGTCCTTTCCAAATTCGCCATATTCAGTTTTGAACGGACCAATGAAAACAAATTAATAACAGTGATTGTGAGTTTTTGCGAGAAAATAATTCAGTAGGACATCACAATCAAATTTTGTGCAGACATCAGTTTGCGAAAAAACCGTTTGTTAGCAGACGGAACACAGCTTCTGTTCGTTGTTCGCCATCACGCGCGGAGAGCCGTGCTCTCCGCTAGTATTATTTACCTAGGAAATCATACATTGCCGTGTAACCATCCTGTCAGCTAACCTTTTTGTCGAAAGCAACTTCCTCGTTCCATTTGCGTTAACAACACTTCGATTGCCGTACGCCCGCGCGAAAACGACGACGATCTCGAGATGGACGACGCTCCGGAAGAAAGGTACGAACTCGATTTAAAATTTTTGCTAAAATAGAAAAAAAGAAAAAAAAGAAAAAAGAAGTACTAAGATTGGCGTGGGATCACTGCTCGAACCTAGGACCATGCCTGAGGTCACGCAAACCCCGGAAAGACAAGAGGGGGATCAAGTGCCTCCAGGAGCTCCCAGGAAAACCAAACATCAGAGAGAGCCACAGCGTAACCTCCGGCCCAGAAAGCTAAGATACGACACGGGTAAAAACAAAACAAAAAGATTTTTTACGTATTTTTATAAATCGGTTATTGCATACTGCTTGACACGCGGAAATACTATTACGGCCCATTATCACACAGTGGCGTAAATAGTAGATATGACGGCGCCTATCACAGCGGCGCCCATGGCAAATGAAATTTCGCGCCCCTCATAATGATAGTGTTAATGACATCATCATCATCATCATTATATTTTTATTATGGGTGGACTCGGCTCGGTGGCCCCTTCCCAAGTGGCGCCCAGGGCACTTGTTCACCCCCCCCCCCCCCCCCCCCCCCCCTTCCCCCTAGTTACGCCACCGATTATACAGAAGGAATTATGGAACGTAAATTATTAAATTGAGGTTCTGCCATATGTAGATTTTTGTCTTCAGACCTTTTTACAATTTGCTATCGAAAAAATAAAAGAACATATGTATGTTTTATTTCTAGTAATTATAAATTTACTCTGAGTATTAATCAAGGGCTATTAGCGGCGAGATGTTTCGGTGGCGCCCTCCTATGGTTCCCCCTTGTGACGTCATTACCTTGCGAACAACAAGTTCGATGGTGTTTGTAAATAGCATGGTGGAAGCCTGAAATCATTGCGCTCTCAAAGCAACACTGCCAACACCGTCGAAATTAAAGTTCTTTCATTCCTCTTATTTCCGTCGATGGTATACCCTTTCCGACGTCATAGTCAGCTTTTGGGCCAATCGTGGAAGGCCGACCACAGCGACGCTTTCAGTCGCGCACGTCGCCAATTCACCAATACTTAAGGATATAAAACCCCCCTTCCCAAAATTCTATGCTTGAGAAAAGACTTGTAACCATGCTTGGTGCAGCTACTTTTAAACTAAAAAAAAAATCTTGGGATAATCTAATGCTAAGCTCACGTCCCGCAAAGTCCTCAACCCTTCCGCTTAGCAGAGCGAATGCTGGAGAGGAGGGACTCGCCTCCCCTTGGCGTTTGCTCTGCTAAGTAGAAAGGGAAAAGGGCTTCGCGGCAGGAGCTTGTCTCCCCTTACTTAACCTGCAACAGGATATAGTGATCTGAATTTCACCAAGAGTTGTGCAGTTTCTTCAGGGCTGAAGAAGCTGTTTCTCAACAAAACGTTGGCCAATTTCAGGCCCAGTAATCCGAGACGCTTCGTCTTATGTTTAGAATGACCTTTATAGTTACGTGCCCACTCTTTCTGTTTTCTCGACCTTGAATCTACCATTGCCAAAATAACTGGCACCACCTGGCAGGAAGTTGTGTTCGAGGATTTCCAAGATGATGCACTATAGTGTGCGCATCAGGAAGAAGTAGGAAGAAGTGCCTTCAAACTCGGGGTGAAAGATGAGCCAAAACAGGCACAAAAGGAGCCAGAAAAGCAGGGCAAGCTCCTCCGACAGAGTCCTCCACCCTTTCCACTTTAGCAGAGCGAACAATGGAGAGGATACGAGTGGAGTCACGATTGGTGGAGCCCTCTACGTGGCAGAGGCTTGTCGTGCTCTTCTCAGCTGCAACAGGCTAAAGCTTCCTCAGTCGACGGAGTGCCCGCACTCACTCGGGCAGGTGCTCACGCGCTACGATAGCAGAGCCCCCAAACTGGCAACTTGCAAAAATGATGGATTCAGCAGCGCATCTAAAATGGGAAGTGGTGGAAACAATTTAAAACTATGAAGTCCACAGAGTGGAGAATATTTTCTTCGACTTTACGAAGCCTTTTCTGGCAAACAAAAGGTCAGTCCGCATTTTCACGTTTGAGAGCGCTCGAGAGCGTGGCATTCTCTCGTAACAGCTCTTAACGATCGAGAGAATGCGCCAGCACGCTGTCGTCGTCCATCAGGTAGCCAGAACATTTCCCGTCATGTACTTTTCTGCACATCGCACTGAGGGCGTGAAATAACTTCGACGATGTTATAAGCGACCGCTCTCGATAGGTATAGCGCCAAGATTTAAGATCTTGCAAATACTGAAAAACCTTCAGTCTAGTTATACGCAGATTGGAGTGTTCCAAGGCTACCCGACAGGTGGCGCCAGTGTCTTCCCTCGTCGTAAGCAATTACGAGGCAATGCAACACACTCGAGCACAGTCAAATACAAATGTGCGAACAAGCCTTTAAAGGTTTAGGACTTCCTGACGTCTGTGCTCTAATGTCGCATGACTCCGGAACCAAAGACATGAACCAAGAAAGTCCCACCAGCGCGTCAAAGGAAGAGTTGTACGGCCTGCTGGAAGCCCGCATCAACAACAGCGAGGGCACATGGGTGCAGTGCTGCGAAGCAAAGTGCAACAAATGGCGCTACCTCCACAACGTCCTCGACCCCAACGAAGTGCCCGACGAGTGGTACTGCTTCATGAACAAGGGTGAACAGCTTCCATCCTAGCATAACCGCCACCGCCGCTCTGCCGCCAGAAAGGATGAGCTCTCGAGCAAAGTATATTGTATGAGCGAAAGAGCGTTATTGAATTTTGGCTTGCAGTTTTTGTTTTACCGTTACAATAAAAGACATTTGAAGAAAAAAACGGCAGCAAGCGTATTAAGGTCGGTGGCATTATCGTTCCTACCCTGCTCAAAGTAAGATTAGAATTCAAAGTTGAGGTCCCATACTTCAGACTGTTTGCCAAATTGAGAGATAATGGAGCTCGTGGGGACTGCAGATGGAGACAAAGCCTGGATCAGGTGTTTCAGCTCGTATTGTCTGTCGGGGTACATCACAGTTGTACCCCAGCTTATTTAGCGGACAAGTATTTTCAGCGAGATGAGGTCAAGAGAATCTGTAATGCAAGCTTCTCCTAAGGTTTCAATCGGCAGGCACCAATACCCCAACATTCTTCACACTCCAAACAAAGCGCAGTCCGTCGCACGCAGGCAGTGCATCATACCGTGGTTGTGTCCTTCTTTATTTAGACACCCAGTACAACAGCTGTGCAGCGGCAGAGCAGGACATGTCCCAAGAAGAGTTCGTAGATGTCAAGTTCTTTGTCGGCTCCATCGTCTGGGCCAAGCTGGGCTCATACCCCTGGTGAGGAGCGAGACCCCATCACCGCATGCTGCATGCTTCCTTGGTCCTCCTCTCCCGCCTGGCACGATTCTAAGGATGCCATTGGTCGCAACAGGTGGCCTGCCATGATTGACGATGACCCCGACGGTTGCCTCTACTTCTGCAATGAAGACCCTTACGACGAGGATCGTGTGGTAGGGGAGTTAGTGCACTAATCAGGAGACTAGAGCTGGACAGAGCCAACCTTTAAAAACAGTCCTAAATTGGATAGTCACTTGCAAATAGCCGGCGTCAACTTTCCTGGTTAACCTTCCCTTTCTGTTTTACAGCGACAGCTGGTAGTGGCCCTACCCCGGTTTTTCGAAAGCGAGAGCGTAAACGTCGTCAGTTTCCCCACTAAATTTAGCGGAAAGATTGATGTCACGTGACCTATGCACCAATTGAGTTTCCCGCTAAATTTGGCGGGAAAATTGATGTTACGTGACCTAACGCTATGGGACCTACAAATTCAGGTTCCCCGCTAAACTAAGCGGAAAAATTGATGTCACGTGAGCTGTGCACCAATTCAGTTTCCCTGATAAATTTGTCAGGAAAACACATGACGACCTTAAAGTTATTTATTCATAATCGACGTATCGACGCTAAATGAATGCAACGTCATTTCAATATCGGATCACCGTACGACACACGATTGGTAGAATGTCAATTGATTTTCATTGTCTAATAAGCAGCACAGCGGTCGCTGTCTGACATGTGATCACGGAGGTTATAAGTACTAAGAAGGGGGACGTTGCAACATTGGCGAAGTCTAGTCATAAAAAGTTTAAACGATGTTGTGGCCAACGTGACCGTAGATCTCTCTGGCAATTGGTGAGGACGGTAAGGAGGAATATGAGAAAGAGGCGAGGCATCAAGGGAGCATGGTTTGAGGAGGCTACGTGGCTGACGTCATGTCCTCTCCTATCCTTCTATCCTCCTTGAGTGTGATCATCGCGCAATTTTTCCTCCTTCTTAAAAAGTAGGAGGTTTCTGCATGGCCTCGCCTCCAGTACAAGCCAAACGCTTTTTGTAGTCGCTTGGTTGGGAGAGCATGCTTGAAGCTCAAGTGGCACCAAATTAGTATGTAGGAGGCTCATGCTGGAGGCAGGCCAACATGCAGACCTACATTTTTCTGGTTGTCCAGAACTCTAGTGAATGCAACATTAAGCCACCTTTGCAACAAAGAAAAAAGAAAGAAAAGACATTGCTTTGTACAAATATGGTCCCTTACTTGACAGAGTAAGTTCGTTAACCATTATTGGGCTGGGATATATACTAGCAGCTTCCTCAGAATTGATTTTCCATGGGCTAGCAGCAACAAGGCATGATCACTTCCACATCCTCGTTTTAAGTTTCATTTGGATTACATCAGTGCACACTGCTACATTTTTAAGGGTGGACCAGATTAATGATGCAACTGTTCTTAGCTTATCTGTAGGTGCAAAAGAAGTCGGAACAATGTACAATCACAGTGGCTTACAAACTGACCTTCTTTACAAACAAGATGGCTCTATACGAACAAAATGAGTGCACCCTTGCACAACCGTCTGCTTTGTAGATAGTTGCACAAGTACTACTCAACTTCTCCCAGTATTCCACAAAGATGTCAGATTAACAGGGTGATTTTGCAAAGAAAAAATAATAAAAAAGTGATATGACTGGAAGGTGAAAGTAAAACGAGAAGGTTGGTGACAAGGAAAAAGAATTGGCCCAAATCAACTTTCTTCAGCCAACGAGCCAAAGCTTGCTGGATAGGCAAACGACCGTCTTTGCTTGCACAGGCTCCTTTACGCTCCAACATTTTCCAACATAATGAAAATTATGCGCATAGTATTCATTCGGCCCTAAATAAAATGGCCGGCATAAGTGTGCATAATTTGGCACCCATTAAACCAGAAAATAAACAAAAAAAAACTGCCCGGCTTCTTTGCTGGCCACCAGAAACTCTCACCAGGCTAGACTGCATCAACCTTTTTACCAACAAGAACCATAAGGCTGTTGCATTCAATAGAGCACACCTTGCATGCACATCCAAGCTCGCCGACATTTGTGACAAAGCAGTGTGCAGCACACCGAGTGTAGCACTCCGAGTCTTCCTGCTTGGCAGACGCACTACCACGTTACCTTCCTGGACAAGAATGTGACCCGTGCCTGGGTTCGAGAGGATCGCTGCGTGCCATTTTGTCCGGAAGGCGTGCCAGGGAACAAGGCAAGGAGCTCTGCACTCCCAAAAGCATGCACTAGAATCACCGACAGAAGGAGAACAGCAGAAAGTCTTTTTCCAATGTTTCCAGCATGTGCTGGAGGCCGAGCATGGCTTGGCTGTGCGCACACACTCCAGGTGCATGTTGCTCATGCTTGAGGCGGAACCACTCAAGCACCTACCCACCGTTCTAGCATTGTCAGCGACTATGCGGGCAGAAACTGAGGAAGAGGAGGAGACGAGAGGGGACGTCAGAACACCGAGCTCTGGTTGGAAGGATCAGTGAGTAGATGCAAAGCTAGCCATCTTTGTCTCCACTGCACTGTCCGAACGTGTTTGATCAAAAACTCCAGACACTGGCATTCTCTGTTTGATGAATGCAGTGGAGGCAAAAGCAGCTAGCTTTGCGTCTACTCCTTAATCGTTCCAACCATAGCTTGATGTTTGGATGTCCCCCTCGTCTGCTCCTCTCCCTCACTTTCTGCCCGCATAGTTATCCCAACAATGTAGTCGTAAAAAAGATAAACCCAAAGAATTGGAAAAGATGGAATAGCAGAACATAAATTTCAAATCAAGCTTGCATGCATCATGTTCATTCTTGGGGTTTGTTTTCCACGGTTCGAAGTAAACTCTGGTTCCATTTTTAATAAAAAAAGAAAAATAACTTGGTTCTGTTTTTTTCTTTTTTCCCCCTCCTCCCCATCTTTATTTTAGCAACCTGAGGAGTGCGAGGGTTGTATAATTTAAAAAAATTTGTGCTTATTCGTCATTAGAGATTTAGAAGAATTAAAGTGCAAATATATAAAACTCTTGATTAGAGACCTGGAAAAACTTGACAATTCGACTTTTGAATCAAATTGTAGCCTTTAAAAGTGCAGAAAATTTCCGTGAATTTGTAGCGATTATTTTAGCTCTATTCAGCGTGCTTCTCCCCACAACATGGGTGTGCCATGGCTAAGTGACATTCATGATTGGTGGGGTGGGGGGGGGGGGGGGGGGGGGGGGGCGTTGCAAGTGCCGCCTTCCCGCAAAACGCAAAAGGAATTGGCAGCTCTTCCAAAAATGTCTGTCAGCATAGATTAAAAAAGAAAAAAATTGTTTTTATTATTGCTGCATTTTAATATTGATTGCTAAAGTAAAACTTCCACAGCTAGTATTATGAAATTGTTACCAAGATGCCATGCAGACAATTTTCTATTCTAATTCCAAAAGCATAATAAATTTCCAACAATTCTCTTAAAACGAGCATAATGATTGCTGATTTTGTACTGCAGTAATGTTTCAAATAAAAAAGCAGCTAATGAGCCCCATTGAAAAGGAAACATGCCTTCAAGGCATTATGAGAACCTTAGTTTACTATACTGCTTTTACATTTTATGAAAATGATTTCATTCAATATTCGAAATTGCCGAATTGAATCTCAAATTATTAATTGTTGTTTGGGCACGTCAAAAACTTGCAGTCTGTTCTTTTTGCTGCCATTATGTGGCTCCAATCATGATTACACGTAATGCATACAATAAAATATATGATTAATTGGATACAGACAACATCATTATTGCTCCAAGTAATTAAGAAGAGGCTCGAGAAACAACCATTTCCCTGTGGAAGAATCAGATTTAAGAACAAAGCACCCTAACCTTGAGTCTGTGTCCTCGTCAGGTTCCCAAGAAATACGAGAGAGCTTTCAACGATGCCCTTGAGAGGGCAAAGCTCGCAGTCAAACTCCCCCTTCCGGTAAGGCTTCTTTTTTTCTTCTTTTTAATAGAATGTGTTTTTGGCGAAGGTAACTCGGTGACAATGTAAGACACAAAAGGCGTCATGACAGAGAGCAATATATAGCGTCCTCACTGCAGTGGGGCTATGCTAGTTCACGGGTAGAGCCTTACTCGCATTGGCTGGCGCAGGTGATCAATCGACCACAACCAATGGGGTTCTCGTAGAACGCCCAGGTATGAGTCACGGTACATAAACAATTGAACCGAGGTACGATGATTTCGTCAGGTATCTTATTTCGCTAAGTCTCGAATTCTCAGCGAACCACCAAGAACACAAAAGAAAGTCTCGATTGTATGCAAAAAGTGTGGAGATACAGGCGATGTGCTGCGAACGAGCTGGGCCCGTGATGTGTGTGCTTGTGGCATCACAATGTCGTGAGACTCTGACATTGCGTGAAGTCGCAGAGTTACGTGCCGTCGAGTCGCATGATAGTGTGATGTCGCGCGACGCTGCAACATTGCGCGACTTGACGACAAGTATGGCTGTAGCGTGACACACACTGATGCCGGTCGTGTAACACTCGAGCGTAATGTCTCGCACCTCTCATGAAACCCGGCCCCATAACGCACCCTACATTTAAATGCTGCCTCATTTCTTCCAAATCCAGGAACGGATACCGGAGTACTGCTTTATCAACAACTACCCTCCCTTACAAAGTGAATTTCTGCGATGGACACAGACTAAATGTAAGCGGTCGATTTGCACCTGTACGATAGAGTGGGAGGCAATGAGCTAAGAATACCACGTGTTAAGAAGGCTGGAATAGACTGCCACTATTCCCTGTCATAAAATGGTGGCAGTCCGCTTCGTGGTTGAGTGTGCCGAGGGTACCCCGTGGAGCATTTTACCCATTTGGTCAGTGCTTCGTTCAACAAGCCAATAATGCCACCCAGTGTACACTGCATGGCATTGTTAGCGTGGACAAGCAATTGCCATATTTTTTTTTCTGTGCTTCTCTTAGAATCAAAGAACTGCTGTCAAAACTATTATACTCCGTCTTACCCTACAATGGACTAGGGTCCAAAGGCTGGCAGGCGGAGCACTGCATCAGAAGAGTTTGCATCCGCAATGTGAAAGAGTGCGCGAGAGAAATTCCGATACGCAAACTACAAAGAGCACTAATATAGCGCATATGGTTCTCTGTTATGATAGTGCAATATTTTATATTGGTGAAATAAAGGTACTATCGCAGACGATATGAGCTGAAACAGCGCTCCGGCCTGTGCACGGTATTAGCTGCGCCGCTTGTCGCATCGCTCCCTAAACATGGCGCACCCTGAGGCAGAGATAAATTCTCACTTGCACTCACTGCGCCACTGCGCTCTTCCGGTTGTTTGCTAGCGAAAATATTGGTCGACAAAACCACCATCACGACGCGTGTGCCGTGTAGCCCAATGTTCACGTTTTCAGCTGACGTGAATTTCAGTGCATTTCAAGAAAGTGCCAAAGTGGAAAATGCGTTGTCACGCTTGTATCTCCTCGAGGAGCGCTGGCTGACGAAGCTGCCTTGGCCCCCAAAAGGAGCCGATCTGAATATCATCGAAAACATTTGGAGGCGCATCAAAGTAGCCATGTCACGGCGTCTCCTCCACCGCGCCACTGCCCACAAATTGTGGAAAGCAATGAGAGGTGAATGGGGAGTGGCTTCAGGATGAGCCAGACTTCGTGGCCGCGCTTTTTGATTTCTCATCAGACAGGATGAGAGTTGTGGTCGCGGGTCAGGGGAGAATTATGCGGTATTAAATGATTTTGTAAGTTTTACTGTGCCTCAGGACCCCCTGAACCGGACTTCTGCCGATTGAAACAAAGCTTGACGCTAAGTTTGCAACACACAGTTTGACGCCGTTAACCACGCATACTTTTGTGTGGTGCCTCCTTGATCCCAATCTTCTTGTATAGTGCAGTTGAACTTCCACGCCGACTATTAATCTTTTGTTTATCACATTATCCTCTGCAAATATTCTTTCGATTAAGTTTGAATCTCCTCCTCCCAGCAAATATACGACTGTTTGTCACACTTTATTAAGACTAGGAATTTGTAAACAAAAAAACTGGTGTATTGCCAGCAACTTGTTTTGTTTGAAACAAACACGTGGGCCCAGTAATACAAAAATAATCTTCTTGAATTTCTTCAAACCAATCAAGGTTACAAAACCTTCTCAGTAGCACGTATGCTTCCCATTTTTTTAAACATATGTGATCAATGAAAAAGAAAAAAAAGTAAATACCTTGGAGCCAGGCTAATTCTGGCTTACAAATTTTGGCCTATATTTTATTATGTCCTACCTTGTGCATGCCCCTATAATCAACCAAGAACAACCTAGGCCACGTCTTCTGATGCGACTTTCAAGAACGATAATCGCAGCTGAAATTTAAGACACTTTCTTCACCAGTCAGCGTTTTTTGTATGGGATTCTGCGCAGTAGAGTAAATTTAAGTAATCAATTCCAAAAGAGGGACCGCAAGTGAAATATTTTGTTCCCCCCGCCGCCCTATCACACACACACCCGCTGTCGCACCCGCCGTCTCGCTTGCAGACGGCCGGAAGAGCGCAGTGGCACAGCGAGCGCAAGTGAGAATTGATCTCGCACTCAGGGTGCGCCACGTGTGCGGAGCAAGGCGACAGGCGGCGCAGGTAGTACAGTGCGCCTGCCGGAACGCTGTTTCAGCTCATATTGTCCGCGATAGTACATGGTATTTAGTTTCATAAACGTTTTTGCCATATTTTGTTAACATGTCAACTCTTTCGAGAAGTGTGATGGCACGCAGGCAACACTGACGGAAAGTCGTTTGGCCTTAGCCATAAGAATCTAATCCAACTTTTGTGTACGTAAAACATACCCGGACCCGGCTGTACCTTCCGCACGCGGTCCCTACATACGTCCCGTGTCGAACACTCCATCTGACTCATTTTCATTTCTTAATGGCCACTGGTTCTGATCCTGGGTACTCTTCGCCCCATCGCTTCCAGATGGTATATAATACCTGCAGCAGTCTTCAGTAGTAGCAAGCAGACAGAGCAGCCACGAGGGCTCGATAAGCAAACGAAAAACTCGCCTCCTCAAGACGTGTCTTGACGCACTGATACGTACGACGGAGCAAATATACCGCGCAGTTTCTAACAGGCTCGTGATTGAACCTGGCGGCCTTTACCATTGGGCTTTAGTTGATCGTGGGATGAGACAGAGTATAGTGTGGTGTAAAGTGATAATTTGGGACACTAACTAGCAGTGAAGTTTCATGCCCACCAACGCACTTTGAAAGTTCCAAAAAGTGTCGACATTGGATCATGGCAACAGTGTCACACAGTGTGCTTCATTTGGGCATCGTAGTTGCGAGGCATTTCAAGATGGCATGTGCTGTTGAAGCACCATCGAGCAAACAGTTTGTCTTGAAATTGTATGGTTTGAAGACTGTTATGCACATTGTGCATTAGGCACTGTAGCCCCCTTCATTCGAAGAACATGATGTTGGTATTAGAACCGCCGATTGATACAGCGTGAGGCTTTAAATGTCTAAAGACGAGGCCACTCGGGTTAAATCTCCGGCCACAAACAATACCAGCGCTGAGAGTAACGACACCTGCCTGTGGCTGATCTGATCAAGTAGTATTGATCAACTGATCAAGTAGTATTTTTGTTCTGCGATTGGCTTCATAGAGGGATGTGCGCAGTGTATTTGTGCCAGGCCTTTAATATTAATAAAGTACACTTCTTGACATTGTTAGCGTGAACAGCCAATTGCCAGTTTTTAATGTTTTTCTCCTAAAATCGAACAGCTACAATAAAAAATTCCTAGCATTGAAGAAAGTACTCCTTCAAGACGGTAATTTAAACAGTAAAGTTTCTTGCCCTTCAATACTTTGTCTGAGCAAAATGCAAAAAAGTGCCAATGTCGAGTTCACACTAAAGGGTGTTGTGTAGTGTCCATTGTAGTTTCAGTTAAATCTAAATATAGGGTGATGCGAATATTCGAAACTTTCAAATGTTGAAGCGAATAATGCTATATTCAATTCAAACTTCAAATAGGAATATTCAGCAACTTCGAATATTTTCGAAGTATTTCGAAGTTTGAAATGCTGCAAAATATAAGGCAACTCCGGTCGGAAACCAAACCAATTTAAATGAGTAGTATCACTTTAGTGGCACGAAATATGACCACAGCTGAAATATTATTTCAAAGTGAAGCCGCATACTCCACTAAAACCGATTTAAAAGATGCGACCAGCTGCTTTTTAGCGGGTGGCAAGCTGGTTAGATATTAGTCAAGGAACACTAGTGCAGTATCCTTGAGACGTCATGTCGCAGGGGAGCTGTGGTTGATTGGTTGTACCGCGTACCACATCAGGAGTACCGCATACCGTTGCGACCGTACGCCTGATGATCAGTGCTGCCATCTTTCTACCAAATATTTATAAAACTACACACAATATCTAAAAAAGAAAAAATTTTATACCTTGTAATTGAGAGGCACTGCTTTAGATGAAAACAGTCGTAATCCGAAATTAAAAAAAATATTCACTGGAATTCCCTTTTAGTTTGGAGTAAAAAAAAACAACAAAACAGTATGCACGCGTAGCTCGTTATCTTCTCCCTTTCTCTTTTTTCTTGAAGAAAGCTGAATTAAAAAAGTGACTTCCGACACGGCTTGCATGCAAAACGGGGTGTCCGACGATGCATCAGACAATTTCATAATGCACGATGTTGAATCTGTGTCCGACGTGTTTGTACGCCATGGGCAGCTGGAGACTGCAGATATGAGGACTAAAAACCTGGAATTATGAATGCGTCGTGGTCCTTCCATTACCGCGGGGAAAAAGGTAAACAGCGATAGCAATAACAATGCCTTTTCTAAAGGAAGTACTGACCGTATATTAACCTGTAAACATTAAAACTTTAAACTTGGAGTTCCATCTCACACACATTTTTCAAGTATATTCTCTGAAGGAAAAAACAGTATTGGTATATGACGCGGAGGGAGGGCAAAGGAGGAATCGCTGTATTTTTGGGCTAGGTGGCACTAGCCTGTCGCCTGTGGGGCCTCGCACAGAAAATCCTTTCAATTGGTAGAAGGATTGTGGAAAGGAGAAGCATCTACTGCTGGCAAGCATCACTCTGTAGTACCTATCAATAGCAGCAATGGAAGTCTTCAGCGAAAGGTTGTTTTCAGCATTGGGGAATGTTGTCACTGCCAGAAGGAAACTCCTCCTAGTCCCAAAACGTGAGGAACAGCTTGTGTTCATGCACAGTAACTTGAAACAAGTTCACCAACCAAGGCCTATTTTCTTTACTCTATTGTGGATGGCATTTCTAATGGATGACCCCAAAGTGTTGTGCAAATGAGTCTCAGCACCGTCATGGACGATTCACATTATGGGCAATTCTACTTTCGACATTGTTCATCTTGTCACAAAGGACAGAAAACACACCTCCTTCTATCGAAATGTTGCGATTCCACAGCATAATCGCGAGGCAAAATTTAGAATATTCCCCGACCTGCAGCCGCGAGTAGCAGCCATGAGAACCACGCGGCATGACGTCAACGGGGGTCGATAAAAGGTAACTTTTCTATAAATCTTGTCAATCCAACATAAATATAAATGCGTCAAAAACCTGGTATCATCGACCAAACATTTATTATACGGAGTTTTAGTGGCGCCATCTATCCTAGCTCCACAAAACCGTCGGCTCCATCTGCTACCGCGAACAGCCGCCAGAAGCCAAAGGGGGACAAAGCCGGACGGGTATGGCCGGAACCGGATAAGACTTTCCTCCTTTCACCATATTGTTCGCGCTGCGCAAGGCAGCACGTGGTCAAGCGGTCGCGAGCGGATGAGTTCTAGCTGCTCACTGATGGCTCTAGACAGAGAGCTTCAACGGAATCCCGCGCGACCCCCATTGACGTCACAGCGCACGTGACTAGGAAGATGGTGAAGGAGTTGAGAGGTGCCCAAAACCTCAATCTTTGTCCATTTTTAAAATAAAAACTAGGACATCCAGGCAAAAGCGGTTTTTCGTTTTTTACTTAAGAAAGGTTGAGACACCAACTCCCAAATTATTTAAGCAAAGCACTGAAATTGTTGCACAGCTCCTTTAATGAGACGTGACTGTATTAAGATAAGAGTAATTGCAAAGGTAAGCTGGCAGCCGATCATGGTAGAGAACCCTGAAACTTTGCCATCTTTGTCCTTTTTTTTTTCTTGTTCCCTAGCTTCAAGGCTTTCTTACTTTGACTGTGTGGATAACCGAAAAACTACTTGCTTCGCCTCGAAATTATTCTATTTGATTCAAAATTATTTGTACAAAGTAACTATTTGCTTCCAACAGAAAAATTAATATTTGCATGTCCCTAGTAAATTGTGTTTTTCTAACTGCAAAAAAAGAACAAAAAAAAACAAAACTATGCATTACCAAAAGTCTAGTCTCCAACCAAATGTGGTCGGGATCGGATGTCGAAATTCTAGAACTTGACGTTATCGAATTCAAAAGTAAGAAGTGATTTTAAGCAATTTGCAATGAAAGAATGGGGCCAGCTCTCAGTAGCAGACGCTAGTTACCTCCTCGTATTTGCGGGCTCCGTCGGCTGTCAAGTGTTCATTGAAAACAATGTTGGGTTCTGACAATGATAACTGATCATAAACATTAGCCTATATACCATTGGCACGAAATGAAATGTGACCACTGGAATGCATGGCCTTTGCTATATGCTGCACTACCTGGAGGCACATAAAACTGCAGAGTGGAGAGGAGGCTTCGAGAGTGTGCACTTTCTGAGATGTGCAGATAGCGCTGCATCTGTCAAAGGCCACGCATTCCCACATTCAGATTTCATTCCGATAATACATTCGGCAGAGACTGAGCATTTGACAATGCATATTTTATTTTTACCGCAATAAAAACATGGCTCACATTTCTCTCAAATGCGTTGAAGTTCCATGGTTTGGAACAAAATAGCTCCACCTGAGACTCACGAATAGAAAACACTCTTGATGTTGCAGCCAAGCAGCCCAGGAAGAAGTCATCGAAATGCAAGACCACCACTCAGCCATTGACCAGTGACATGCCGCCAGGTATATTTTGGAAAAGAAAAAAAGGAAGGTAGAAATCTGGGCTGCTTGCTATGTCCAAAGCCCGTCTCCGAGACTGCATGGCTAAAAATAAAGCACAGTTTTGCTGAACAAATTTACAAAAAAATTAATGTGCATTTGTTACAAACATAGACAGATTTTGTTGTTACAGTCTGCACTTTGTAACACCTGATATTGGTCTCGCAGTCAAGCGTCCCAGGGGCAGACCACCAAAGGTGCAGACCACTACTCAAGAGACGATGCAGCAAATGCAGTCAGGTAAGGGCTGTTAAATCGAAGTTAGCTAGAGGTTCATATTCAACCGTAAAAGCTGAACTCTCTACCTTGACACACATAAAAGAATGCAACAGATCAAAATGACTCGGCAACTTTTTACCTTTGAAAAAGAATGCAGAATTTTAAGTGTCCTACTTTTTTCACATTGCTACCAACATCCCAGTGCATGTATGCAATAAAAACATGACAGGAAGTTCATAGGAGCTGCTACTGAAAACCACAATGACAGAAAACTTGACCTTTTTAATGCAAGTTCTGAAACCATAAACCCTGCACACACTGTTTTCTAGCAAGTGCAGCGACTAACAGCCATGGAAGAGGATCCAAGCCGGCATTTAAGGGAGCCAAAGAAAGGGCAGCAGCTTCTAAAAGTGACCTAAGGCCAAATAACCAGTCAGCCACCGAAACCATAAAAAAAATGCAGAAGAGGAAAGACGCCGGGGCTCACCAGAAGACCGTGCAATGCCAGGAGCAGACGAAGAGTGCACTGGGTGCAACTGCCATCGTTCAACAACATCCGCAATTGGCGACTGCAGCAGTGCTTCAAAATTTGCCTTCAGCGCAACCTCAGATCGAAGAGGAGGCAGCCATTTCTGTCCCCATTCCAAACGAAGCTTTAAATCCGAATCTCGTCCACTGTTTATCTGCGGTTCAAGCAAACTGTTCCCCAAACAAGGATCAGGAACCAAGGATGCATCTGGAAGCTGAAAAACAAGAACCAGCAAGCTGGATACAAGCCAGCCAGGTTAAAGTTGAAGTCGACATTTTGCCACTGTTTCAGAGGTTACGTGCAGCAACTGAGGAATATGGTGCACTGGGACAACTGAAGCCGGCGACCGGAGCTTCTGCAACAAAGTTACCGAAACGGACACCAGTCTTGTTCGAGACTCCGCTCTTGTTCTCGAAAGAGGAGAGCCAAAAAAGCTTGGAAGGCATCGTGGACATGAATTCCATCATTCAGTTTCTAGGTGACGACATTGAAAAAAATTGTCATTCCGAAGACGGGACCTGCCAGACAGACACCAAAACTGAAATCATCCCAGCTTCAGTTGCAACAGCGAGCGGAGAGCTGCTTTCACAACTGAGGCCGAAAGAGTCGACATTGGCGTCGGTGCAACCGTTTGGCGAGGCGTCTCACAGTGAACAGAGCAACACTACAACGAGCAGCCGAATGCAGAGTGGTACTGATCTCATGCCAGAGGTTTCTCCTATGAAACAGGTAAAACAAGAGGTCCCAAAATACTACAAAGAAAAAGCAGCTTTCAAAGAAGACAAAAGCACGACTTGGAACAAGGCGAAGAGAGAAATAAATGGCAAGTCACAGAAACCGAAGAATCCGGGTGCCAAGGAGCCAGTCGTAGACGTTGTTGCACAACTTTTAAACGATGCCGCAGCACCTGCAAAATCAGCTAAAGGTCCGGCAGAGAGAGCTAGCAAGGCGACGGCATCAGTAAGACATACTGTGATACCCACGAGGGCATTTGACAAAGTGGCGGCCGAGGTGCCGGCAAGACCAGCCACGATACCAGTGAGCGGCACTTTCAAAGCGGCAACGGTTTTACCGCCGAAACACGTTGTCACGATACCAGCGATGGCACTACCTCTAAAGGAAGCCGTGGCACTGGAAAAACCGGCTGCCAAAACGGGACGCGCCGCCAAGCAGGCCACACATAAAGCACCCCATCAAAAGAGACTGTTCAAGGTCCCGACAAAGGAATCGGCGACAACGCCGCCCGAAGGCTTCGCAGCATCAGAAGGGATGCCAAGCGCAAGGACAAACTCCGACAAAGATCAGCTGACCTCTAGCAGATCGTGGACGACACTTTTGGAAGATAGCGACTTTGACGCCTTGTCTGACCTAAGCTTGACGTTCGAAAACAGCCTGTCGAGCGCCTCCCAGAACATGGAAAAGGATTGCGACAGCGATTTCGCAAGCCTCGCATCGATGGACTGTTCGCAGGCCTTCGGCGATGAAGAATAACTCGTCGAATTCCACGTGCGACCTCTCGTTCAAAGCATCTGGTGCTGGGAAGGCCACCCCAAGCACATGGTTGCAGTGCCACATTTGGTCTGCCTTCAATTTTAGTATGTAAAAACTCCATAACTGTTGTGACGCGAATCTGTTAGACCAAGAATGTTTGTTTGACGCTTGCACTTCCAGCAGCAACTTTTTATTGTAAAACTCACCCAACCAAGAAGGAAAAAAAAAAAAAAAATCTTGCCCCAATAAAAAAAAATGCTCCAAATCTCGGTCTTCACCTTACATGCTCACAAAAACAAACAAACAATCGCTCTCTCTGCTCAAAACAGAAAAAAACAGCCTTGCCCCTGCGAGATGGCGGTGATGTCGGAGGCAGCTCCGAATGGGAATGAACGATGGTGAACCTGGGTGCGACTCGGCTGCTCAGTCCGACTTGGTCTTGGGGGCGTCCTTGTGGTGGAGGAACACGCAGCCGAGTAGGAACACGCCGAACATCACGGAGAAGGCGCTGAGGTAGTAAGGGTATGCCGATGGGATGAAGCGCTTGTACTGCGCGTGCTGCAGCGGCTGCATGGACACCTGCGGAAACACGGGCCAAATTGAAGGACGATACTACCACGCTCGTATGTAGTCGTACATTTGGGTGAAAAGCAAGAACCTGCCTGAGTGGTAGTGTAGAGGTGCGTGTAGGTGACACGGTTGTAGTCCACTTTGAACTGGTACACTCCGTAAACGTCCGGAACCTGGAATTGGGACTCCTAATTCTGGCGTGCATTGGTTGACACCGCATATTCATTTGTATAGATTAAAAAGACAACCAACTTCGAAGAATAAATAAAAAGCTAAGGAAGACCTGGGTTAATAAAATTTTTGAGTAATCCCAGTAGACCTAAATTTCAATAACAAAAAAAAAAAAAGCTTTCTCAAGGTATTAAAACGAACAAAAGAAAACCTTTTTGCAGCCGATCTCGACGTCTAACGGTGGAACAAAAACGTTCCAGAGCATCTTCGCAGCCGCGACGCGACGTAAGCTAGCCCGAAAAACGCATAAAAACGAAGCCTCAACGAAGAGCTTTTTGTCTTGTGGTCGGCTTCGGAAAGACAGGATGCACTCGCCTTTTTTTGACCAGCTTGGTGCGTACAAACGGGTCGATGGGAACAAACTCCAGCTGCAAGTCGTCGGCGTCGAAGGGCACACATTGGCCGCCCTTCAGAATCTCCACCTTGATGCTGTACACCTGGAAGTTAAACTCCGCAAATCGCTAAATCCCCACCAGACGGAAACGCCGGCAAAAGAAACTCGTTTCACGAGACATACGACGTCGTTCATAACGGTGTACGCTTCCGGAAGCGTCTTCTGGCCCTTGGGGTGGTGGCGAACGTTCTGTGCCCTCAGCACCCCCTTCTCCTTGAACAGAACACCCATTGAGAGAGGGCCGTGGCAAGTGTCCGGTTGCTGGCGCTCTCGTACCTGTTTCAGGAAGGCAGCTCCTCGCTAGGAACATACATTACTGGGTTTAATGTTACTTTTAGTCCGCAAGGTCCGACGGAGGAAATGACATCCTAACTATGCGTCGCAGAAAGCCAACACACTGTGCGAACGAGATGCTAGCGGCCGTCAAAGAATGCTAAAGTCTGGGAACGTGACGTGCCCTGGGTCAACGGATAAAGCGGGAAGACAAAATTTCTCCATGATTCGACGTCCACCCAAATCTAATATTCGTCAAACCGAGAAATGGCACTGTGGGTGCCTGCGGCAATTCGGTTCAGAACAACATACCTGTCGGCAAGAAAGAAAATGGGATTATCTTTCTTGACGACGGGTTTGTTCCGCCGAAATAATTGCAGCAGACGCCCATGATGCCATTTCTCAACTCGACGAATGTTGGGCTTAGGTGGATGTCGTCCTCTCAAACTTTTGCATTCTATCACCACCGCTAGCGTCCCGTCCAGTCAAAGTTAAAGCATCCTGCGATGCGTGCTTTATTTATTCTGGCTAAATAGCAGAGTTTCATTGACTGGATCGGACCCTCTAATGTCGCCTAAGGTTTTCCACCGAAAGTGTACTCGCAGGTCCTACAACTGCTCTCCTGCGCGCTCGTAACAAATTTTTTTTTTTTTAGAAACATGGGAAGATTTTTTTTTTTTTTTTTTTTATGACAAAATTTGAGAATGAAATGGCCCAATTTAAACCGGAGCAACAGAATGCACGGCTTTCCACCGTGTGCATTTTGGACCAGTGGCGGACCCAAGGGGGGGGCGACGGGGGCGGCCGCCCCCCCCCCCCAAACAAGGTCGACCCCCCCCCCCCCTCCCCCTTCTCGGAGGGCAATTTGACATGGGGGGACCCCCCGGTGCACACGAAAGAGTGGGAGAATAGTACCCTTACAAATTTCCCGCCCCCCCCCAAAACCGAGTTCTGGATCCGCCCCTGTTTTGGACAGGAGAAGTGAAGAACTTGTTGCTGAAGAAGTCCAGAGAGCCACAGTACACGACGCGCACATTGTTCCTCGCTTGCAGACAGGGCCGTACCCAGAAAAAAATTTCGGGGAAGGTTTTCGGGGACAACGGCGGCCATTTTGAAAATGTCTATTGTCTTATTTTCGCCTCTGAATCATGTGCATCGGTGGCATATAATGGAGAGTTATAGCAAACCGGAGAACCGGTCCCGGTTTGGTACCCGGTAGCCGACCGGTGCTACTGCGCGTGCGCAGAGGTGGAGATTAAAATCGGCTGGCTGCAAGTGCACCGACCAGGGCCGTACCCAGAAAAAAATTTCGGGGGGGGTCAGAACCCCCTATCCCCCCCCCTGGTTACGGCCCTGCTTGCAGAGCCGACACGAGTACAGTGTTCTAGCCCACTGCATGCGGGTACTGTCGAACAAGATGCCGCCTCTCTCAGTTCACGAAGCGCCCCGAGGAGCGAACGGACTTGTTGCGTGAAGCCAAACCTTACCTCAGTGATTTTGCTGTCCGGGTTGTAACTGTAAGCTGTCAAAGGGGCCGTCAGAGCTTCATAGCACAATAGGGTTTTCCTGGTCAAAGATAATGCTTAAAAGAAAAAAAAAAGTGAATATTTTGGAAAATTTAAGGAACACGTCTAAGAGTTTTGTGCCTAAAAAAACATACCCTACAGCCCTGAACAGAACAGGAGGGATGTTCTTGCTGCCAACCACCGTGGGAGCATTGATAAGGTTCTCGCTCTCGGCAACTATGGTTGTGTGCTGGAAAAACGCAATGATGTGCTCTCGGACATATGCAATATGAAACATCAGCTATACATAGCTTGCACAGACGTCACTTGGTCGGACATGGGGGAAAGTGCGTCAGGGAGTGTATCTTCCACTGAATTAACGAGGCACTTCTGGCCACCAGAAAGAGGGGCCGACTGACGTCCTGTCCTCATCGGTGTATGGCTACTTCCACCTTATACGTAAATACATATAGTGCTCTGGCAAACCATACGAGTCACTCGACTTTGTTTTTACAAGTTGGAAAGCCGGAAACAACTTATTTTTGTAGGCCGTGGGGATTTGCTAGCTACCAACAGTGGTACCGATAGAGAAACCAAAGGGTTATCTCAACAGCAGCGGTGATCTCAAAGGAGATGTCAAACCTTGTAGCGTAATCCCACATCTCTGCGACAATATGGATGACGTTTAGGCCTACACTACCGCGGGTCATTTTGACAATTACCTCCGTCGGTGCCAATGATCGTCCACCTTGTCTCACTCTCTCGAATATAGCGGAAAAGACACACATACCAGAGTAATAAAATAGTCCAACAGTATTTATTAAAACACTCTCCTATACAAACTACTATGTCTCCATCCAAAATGCTCCCCGTGCCGGCAAGGTAAAACGCCTGCCAGACACGGGGTTCCAGAGAGCCAAGGTCGGGGAAGCATCGGAGAAGTCGCCGATAAACATCCTATCTCTTTCGCGGTCACCGAACGAGTCCCCTTCCCGAAAGCGGGAAAAGACGAGGAAAAACCTTCTTGCCTGTTGGCAGGGATGGGCACTATTTCAAATACAGGTATTTGAAATACATATTTTAAATACTTTGTGTATTTTGCATTTGTATTTAATTAGAAATTGGGTAATGTATTTGACGTGTGTATTTAAATACTAAAACGTGAGTATTTCAAATACAATTGTAATTAAATACAATTTTGTGGGCGAAAGTACATTCCTCAAATTTATTGTTACTGTCCAGAGCAGGAAGAAAACTGCGTTCTGCACCGAATGCAGTGTCTCTCAATCAAGCACAAGCATTTAGTGACTTCATGATTACGGTGCTAGTCCAGGGCAAGAATAGTGACGAAATTGACGTTCACAGGCAGACTGGATAAATAAGTGCCTGTGACAACTTTTGATGCTTTCCAGCCTGATTTCCATCCATATTTTTGCCTGGAACATTCTAAATGCGCGGGTCGTTCAGATTTTCGTAACTGGTGCGAGTTGCAACAATAAAAAATTCTCTAGCTAGTGCTGCGCGTCTTGGTCGTCGCGGTTCTTTGTTGGCCTATACCAAAATGTAATTGACAAAAAAGCTGTTTCAAGCTCTGTACTTTTTTCACCTATTACGTCCAAGCCGATTACGTTTTTTTGTGATTATATTTCTATTACGTTACTAGAGCCTCGCACACTAACTCCCGAGTGTGCGATGCAAAATTGAAATGAGATACCCAGAAACCTGTTGCAGGTGCCCTGAAGTCGCTGACGCAAATTTTGAGGAATGTATTTGGAAAAGTATTTGGAAGAGACCAAATACATTTGGTTGTATTTGTATCTTGTACTTAAATGCTTTTTTGAAAATGTAATTAGACTTGTAATTAAATACATTTTTGACGAAGTATTTTGTATTTGTATTTCGACACATATTTGCATGTATTTTGCCCATCCCTGCCTGTCGGTATAGTGATCCGCATTTGAGCGGGGGAACGGAAGAAGGTCCCTTCCTGGGGGAGAGTGAGGGGAGGGCCCTCCAAGACAGGGGACCATCCGCTTCACGAACAGGTCGGAGCTCACAGCAAAGGAGGCTGAGCGTTCCGACCTGCGGGTGTTATCACAGGCATCGGGGAAGGGATATCGCAAGAATCCCCACATGCCCCCTTCCTTAAAATGGTATGTGGATTTCAAGAAAGAATAAAGGAGGCCCACCTGCTCTCATAAAATAAAATATAACTATAATATCTACCCTCTAACAAGCGACACCCAGCACGCGTCTTCACTGTGTCCACCGGCAACAGCTCGCA